CATAAACACATTTCATTACACCAAATACACAAAATAATGTTCTTTTTAGCAACATCATATGACCCCTTTAACTAGCTAACCCTCCTATGTACAACGTGGAAACCCATGGTACTGTTTTCTTAGTGATATTAAACTCTAGTTTGCCGACAACAACAACCAGGTCGGAACCAAAGCCTCTATTCATTTATATATTGTGCATAAACAGTTAAAACCTCTTACCTTCTTTTGTATTTTGAAGCGTTTGGCGCATGATATGCGTTTGCTCGCCTTCTTCAACTCTACAAAACAGACACGTGGGTTTTTTGTCAGTGTGTTTTACTACTTCTGATAGTTTATTACGTCCTTATCACGAGCAATTGGAAAATATAATGATTTCCGTTGTGTTTGTATGGGCAAAGCGTGTAAATAATTAGATTTGTTTGAGATGATATACTCACTAGGTCTCTTCATGTCTGTCGCTGCTGTAGCACGCGCTCCTCTCTCGCTCACAACGCACCACGTGTCTCTATTCCTCACTTCCGCTTCCGCTTTCGCGCCGTAAAGGGTTAATTTTTGTCATCTTGGTTTTATTTAATAAATCAATCAGCCTTCGTGTTGAATGTGTGTCTGTCCTCAGACAGCTCTCAGAGACAGCTGATCAGACACGGACGGTAAGGCCTGCAGCTGGCGCGCTCTGTGTATTGTCTGCCATGTCTGCTGCTCATGCTATAATAAACCGCGAGCATCATCACGCAGAGTGTTGCATGGCCCAGTGAGTGCGTGTGTGTGTGTGTGTGTGTGTGTGTGTGTGTGTGTCTTTGTTTTTATCCGCCTGTGCTGATGCATGTGTCACACAGCTTGTGTCTGCAGACACATAGCGGTCCCACCTTCATCATCGCACCATCATCATCATCCTCATCGCCCTGCAAACCACTGATTCCTGCAAGACACTCTGAACCCAGCAAACACTGTTGAAGAAGTGCAGTGGTTATCAGTCATCATGATAATAAATGCAGCTGATCATAGGTCGGCGCAGTGTCTCGTAGCTGTACATGCTAATTATGTAATTACAGCGTAATAAAAATCAGGTTTGTGCAGAAGCGGTGTTTACATGCAGCTTCTTGTGTTGTTTTATTTCTGCACACTGTTTCAAAAGTGGATATCTTGAATATTTAGTTATACCACTAATGCTGTTAGTAAGCTGGCATTAACAAGCATTAGCGTACTTACTATAGTATTACTCTAACAGGATTACTGCTAAATTACTGCTAATACACCATTGTATAAAATACGTATTTACTTGAAAATGATTTCCTGTTGGACCCTAAGCATTTCCTCTAATATTCGTAGTTATAACGCTCAGAAATGTCTTTAAATCAGTGTTGGAAGCTTTCAGAATATTTGTAGAATTTGGTTGATTTCATTTTTATTAGTTGTTTTGTGACCATGGCATGTAACCAGTGGTTTTGTTTTGTTTACGTATAATAATTGGAGTAATTATTGTTTTTAGGGGAATTATAGCTACCATAGCACATGTTGGTAAAAACGACACTGGTAAATAGGTGTCTAGGCATAATAATTATGTTGGTAATAAAAAGTATTACTGTACTGTAGGATTACTCTTAACAAGCTTACTGTTAATTCATGACAAAGGCAACAATAATCCATTAGTTAATGATTATGTTAAAAATTAATAATTTGAACATGTGTTTGTAGTGGTTTACCCGTGATAGTTTCAACCTACATATCAGTTACTATAATAATTGTTACTATTATTAACTATTTAGAAATCATATTTGATTTTAGCTAACAGTATTGGCTGAGATTACCACAATTGTATATGTAACTGTACACTAAAATAATGATAGAATTGTAAAAGACTGTAACAATGCTGTAAAAATGTTAATTGGTTAACACGAAGTTCCCTTACTGTATACAGTGAAAAACTATAATAGATCTAACCTTACAGTAAAATAATGTTAAGTATACCATTTGTGGAAGTGAAAAATAACACGTAATCTCATAATTTACAGTGAAAACGTCAAGCACGGATATTCCCAGAATTCCCTGCGACAGCTCAAATTTGACTGAATTTGATTTCAATAATTGTGGTAATAGTTTATGTTTTCAGTTATGTATATTAGTTTTTTAATGTTACAACACATGTTGTTTAATTCATGTATCATGCATTGTTTTAGTGTTTTGTGTTACCATGATGGTGTTTAGTATTTGTTTATATGACACTGTGCACCTTCTACATTAGTATTTCCCTCAGCTTGTAGAAAAGCTACTTGTGATGAACGTTGATTGTGATGCAGCTTTCTCTCTACCACCTGTGCCATTATGGAGGTTGTCAGTATTAAGAGTACAAAACATAGTTTAGTAGCAGGCCTTCAGCAGAAAAGGATTGTTGCATTTACCAATTTAAAATGTAATTTATATTTTGTTGAATTATTATACGTTTATTCTATATGAAGGGCTTTTACAATGGGCTCAAAGCGACGGAGAGCCACTTCTCCATCCAGCAGTGTGAGCGGAGGAGATTTTGAGGACAGCCAGACCACATCCATACCTTCAACCAGTCGGAAGAGGAGAAGAACCCCAAACATCCCTACTGTTGACCCCGTGAGTTCAATTGAGTTCATGCATTTAATGCCTCTGACATTAATAACTGCATATTGACTCATTTTTCCTCGTGTTTTATGCAGAAATGTAAGTTATATCATGGCTCTCCTGTTCCTGCTCTCACAGATCAAATGACTTCACACTCTGCTTTAAGAAAACTGCAGATGTTACTTGTTCTAGTGTGTCATTCGGTACGTTTTTCCTTACAGATTGCCGTGTGTCACGAGTTGTACAACACTATCAGAGACTATAAGGACGATCAGGGCAGGATGCTGTGTGAACTCTTCATCAGAGCACCAAAGAGAAGGTCAGTCACACATTAGAGATTTCTGGCCCTTAACCATTTATGCAGTTTGACAGCTTACTGTCAACTAAAACTTAAACCAAAACTCTATAATGGAGAACACAGATAATGCTTCTCTACAGGAACCAGCCGGATTACTATGAGGTGGTGTCTCAGCCCATTGACATGATGAAAATCCAGCAGAAGCTGAAGATGGAGGAGTATGATGATGTTGAGCAGCTCACAGCTGATTTTCAGCTCTTATTCAACAATGCCAAGACATACTACAAAGTGTGTATATATCTTATATTTAAAATATATTCTGTTTTAATTATTGCACCAATGAGATATCGGGTAACACTTTAGTATTATATGGACCAATTCTCACTATTAACTAGTTGCTTATTAGCATGCCTATTATTAACTAAATGGCTGTTCAGCAGTTGATGACGTGACGCACTGAACGTTCTAATCACACCGGTGTGATCGTACGCGTCAAAGGGTTAATGATAGAACTTTAGTCATAAGAATTAAAACTTGATAACCATTTACGAATGCATATTTGTCATTTTAACTGAACCTCTCGCTGCGTGTGTGTGCAACAAAGCGACGGGGAGTCGTGCGCCTTCGCACTATAACCTCCAACTCACACACTGGCGAGTAAAATCTGAGAATTTATTAGCCATTGGCTAATATTAGACATCATTTAGTCGCCCAGAGTAAGATTTAGTCGAATATGCGAGTGATTTACTCGTAATGTAGAGGGTTGGCTTATTACTAATGGACCTTGAAAGTTGAAATAAAGTGTGACCGGCTATTGATGTTACTTGTATAAAAAAAATACACTTAAACTTTTTTTTTTCTGCGCAGCCTGAGACTCCGGAGTTCAGAGCGGCTTGTAAACTGTGGGATCTGTATATTCGCACCAAAAATGAGTTTGTGCAGCGAGGGGACTATGATGAAGATGATGACGATGACGACTCACAGGAAAACCCTGGAGGGGCCACAGAGGAGGAGGTCAGAAGCCCCGGATCTTGCCTGTCTCAGTATTTTCCTACACCTCATGACTGGCCATCAGGCATGCTTTGGAACTGTACTGATGTGTTTTAGATGTGTCCAGACAAATCATTCTGGTTTGTTTCGTTTTTACAGTTTATCTCGAGCCTTAAGGAAGTGCTTGGGCAGCTTCTGGATGCTGTGTTGATGTGCACAGAACATGGGCGTCTCATTAGTGAACTTTTCCAGAGACTTCCCTCTAAAGTGGTAGTTCTCTCAATTTCATTTCAGCACATGCACAAACATATCATATTGTTATTATTATTATTATTATTATTATTCATTTAAACATTCTTTTTCAGCAATATCCAGATTATTATGCTATTATTAAAGAACCAATAGATCTGAAGACCATTGCACAACGAATACAGGTATCTTGTTATTATGATCATGTTCTATTACAGCATATACTGTACAATATTGCCATTTATTATTTATTATAATTTACACTGAAGCTTGTTTCTTTTTGTCCGTAGATGGGCTACTATAAAAGTGTAAACCATATGTCTAAAGACATTGACTTGTTAGTCAAAAATGCCAAAACCTACAATGAACCCGGATCACAAGTATTTAAAGTAATGTGTCACTGACATTCTATTTATTTTTTATAATTTATATAAATATTTATATCTTAGACTTATATTTATATTCATATATATGAATTTCCAGGATGCAAACACCATCAAAAAGATTTTTTCACAAAGAAGACTGGAGCTTGAACATTCTGAACCTATTAAAAGCAGCATCAGGATCAGGTAAATTATGTTATGGATTTCATGTTACCATAACACTTTTTTTTTTAAGCTAGATATTTTAGCTTAAGTCAATGTAAAATATAATATAATATTTAGTACCTATAATTATTATTGAATTATATTGTCACACTTCTACTGTGTCGTAAGGTGATGAAGGAGAACGCAGGAGAGTTACCATCAACAGTCTTTAATAATCCAAAATAGCAGGGAGCACACACGTAGAACTGGAGAAAGACATTTACAAAGAACAATCTTTAATTATAAAGAGACACACACACGTAGCAGGGGAATAGACGTTTAACACTAGACACAGGACAAAGGAAAACACTGGGCTTAAATACTAAGAACTAAAAAAGGAAATCAATGGAACACACCTGAAATCACTGAACACAATCAACATGAGGGAGAAACTAGGTCACAGGGAGAACATGGAGCACGTAGGGGAGGAAAAACAAACACAAAACAGTCCATGGGCGTGACGTATATCAAATATGTTTCCAGCATCAGGATAAGTTATGTATAACATAACGTTTTACCACAATTTGTTAGTTAGATATAATCTAATATAATACAATTTCTTAACTATAGTTATTAATAAATTATAACATATTAAACAATAAGCTTTTATAATAATAATTTAATGCAAAAAAAAATTATACGGTGCAGAAATGCAAAAAACAAAAAGAAACCAAAAAAATTATATTGTATTTACATAAGATTGTATCTTTTAGTCCCAAAGAATTATGAAGACAAATTACAAACAATAAGTTTTACAACAATACGTTTGATTTTAATTTAGTAAAAATACTATAAAAAGTAACAAAAAGCAG